TTCAGAAATTCAGAAATTCAGAAATTCAGAAATTCAGAAATTCAGAAATTCAGAAATTCGGAAATTCAGAAATTCAAAAATTCAGAAATTCAGAAATTCAGAATGTCCTAAATTCCTAAATTCAGAAATTCAGAAATTCAGAAATTCAGAAATTCAGAAATTCGGGAATTCAGAAACTCAGAAATTCAGAAATTCGGAAATTCGGAAATTCAGAAAGTCAGAAATTCAGAAATTCCGGAATTCAGAAATTCAGAAATTCAGAAATTCAGAAATTCAGAAATTCGGGAATTCAGAAACTCAGAAATTCAGAAATTCAGAAATTCAGAAATTCAGAAATTCAGAAATTCAGAAATTCAAAAATTCAGAAATTCAGAAATTCAGAAATTCAGAAATTCAGAAATTCGGAAATTCAGAAATTCAGAAATTCGGAAATTCAGAAATTCAGAAATTCGGAAATTCAGAAATTCAGAAATTCAAAAATGATTTTTGTGCATTCTAGTGCATTCTAGTGCATCCTGGACCACCTACCATCTTCCCAAAGTACTTCCGATGATCTGTAATCCCTTTTCCAAAACTCGAAACCGTCACATGCACTCTATCCGAACAAAAATGCTCTTCTCCTTGATTTCCATCGCATACAATGTATTTTGCCGTCTCGTTCATTCCATCCGGGTACCAAACTTCTGTACTATGATGGTAGGGACCGTCTCGGCTACGCGGATCACATGGCAAATCGACACGAGGCAAAAACCTGTAGTCCTTGTGGCAAGGTGGCAAGTGGGCTAATACATCGATGCCGTTTATTATGCGAAAACTGCAAAAAAGAGGTGAAAATGAGCAAAATGAACAAGAATGCAAAAAATGCATTTTTGGCATTCTGATGATATTAGTCATGATTATACTTGTTCTGATCCGCGTAATTTTTTAAATAGTATAGTTTTTGTTTCATTCTTTTTAAACAAAAATGAAAGAAGTTATGACCTAAAATGCAGAATGATCAAAATGCATTTCTGATATTTTTCAAAATCTAAGCATGATTATACTCATTTTTATCCGCTTAATGTGCCAAACGTTTTGCTTTTTGTTTGACGCATTTTGCATCAAAATGAAAGATGTTATGACCTAAAATGCACAAAATGCGTAAAATGCATTTTTGTCATTTTTTAAAAGTTGGGCATGATTATACTCATTTGAACTGAATTGTCATTTCTTATCGATTGATGTAATTTTGAATGTCTGAAACTGGAAATGAACAAAGTTATGACCTAAAATGTTCAAAATTCAAAAAATGTCAAAAATGCATTTTTAACATTTTTACAATCTGACCATGAGTATACTCATTCAAACCAATTTTTCATTTTAAATCGATTGATTTAATTTTCACAGTCTAAAAATAAAAATTACCAAAGTTATGTCAAAATTACCAAAAAAAAATGAC